AGTGCCTGGCAAGCGCTTATATAAGTCAACAATTGCGAGGAGGACCCATAGAGAGTTTGGGAGCGGATATAAAAGCGAAAATGAAATTAATACCATTCTCAAAGCGGGGGACCTCCTGAAATGGCATGAAAGTAAGAGGATTTATAGTGCATGAACTGAGAGTGTTAACAGCAACCTGAAGGACGATCGAACAAGCCGGAAGGAGAACATAACAGAGGAAGCTCCTCCACGTCAGCGACAGTAAAAGTACCCAGCACGCAAAGAAGCGGTTCTGAATGCGCCCAGAAGAGTTTTTTTTTTAACAGAAATTCAAAGGAACATTACTAACATACTAACAGAGAATTACATGTGACCGGACCAAGAAAAGAAGTTTGACAACGCACAGAAGAAGCTTAAGAAGATTAATTGGACATTACTAACAGTTTAATTTACCAGTTTATATATCACTCAGCTTTCTCTTTCTCCCACTGTCTACCCTTCCCATTTCTTCTTTTAAGCGAAATACCTCCCCTTTTTAGGGGAGTTAATAAAATCTTTATTAAAAAAAAGAAAGTCATTAAAGACTACTCTTGTCCACTCAAAGTAGGAGAGTACTTTTGGCTCAGTAGCAGAGGGGCTGTGGGGCTGCGGGGTATAAGTACCCAGCACGCAAAGAAGCGGTTCTGAATGCGCCCAGAAGAGTTTTTTTTTTTAACAGAAATTCAAAGGAACATTACTAACATATTAACAGAGAATTACATGTGACCGGACCAAGAAAAGAAGTTTGACAACGCACAGAAGAAGCTTAAGAAGATTAATTGGACATTACTAACAGTTTAATTTACCAGTTTATATATCACTCAGCTTTCTCTTTCTCCCACTGTCTACCCTTCCCATTTCTTCTTTTAAGCGAAATACCTCCCCTTTTTAGGGGAGTTAATAAAATCTTTATTAAAAAAAAGAAAGTCATTAAAGACTACTCTTGTCCACTCAAAGTAGGAGAGTGCTTTTGGCTCAGTAGCAGAGGGGCTGTGGGGCTGCGGGATATAAATACAATCTCTCCTCTTCTTCTACTCACACACGGGGCCGCAGTCAGGATTTTTTTTAACTTCAGGGGTATATAAATAAGTTAGGGGGCACCCGGCCACACTGTGTCAGGAGCAACGAGAGAGTAGAAGTTTAAAAAAGCTATGGGGGGGGGGGAAGGGCACCGGCAGGCACGGCAGGGCGATGGCTCCGTGCGGCAAGGCTGTGGCGTGTGTGAAAAATAACATACAATAAACCAGCTGGATGGGAGTCGGGAGGCCTGGGCAGTCAGGGGTGCCTGGCCCCAAGATGTCCCACTGTAGCGACTGGACGAATCATGCAGCCGGCAAGCTACAACCAGGCTTCCGTGTGGAATCACAAGACGATGTTTCTGCACCCTGGGCTGGACCTAAGACCGTGCCAGAAGGACGAGCCGCCTCTTCTCCTTTGGCCACTGTCGCCCCCCTCCTCCCATCCGTGCTGCCGAATCTTAAACAGGAGGCCCGAAGAGCGGCCTAGGCCCAGGGGTCTCCAACACGGTGCTCGTGGGCACCAAGGTGGCTGCCAACACCTTTTCTGGCACCTGCCAAGTGTTTATTTATTCTATCGTTAAATTTATATACCGCCGTCCCCCCAATCTGGGGCTCAGGGCAGTTAACAACGAGTTATAAATACACTTAACCAGGGGTCATTCTGTAGAAAAAGAGGTGCAGGAGCTCATTAGCACAACTCATTTGCATATGCCACACCCCCTGACATCACCGGAAGGGTATCAGAAGGCAACACCCACCGCTCAGGCTCCACTGGGCTCTTTTGGATTGCTAGGTATTGTGGGGTGGCGGGGGGAACGTGCAGATCTGTCCTCGCAGAGGAGGGAGAGCTTGTACCTGAATCAAACTTGGTCTTAAAGGTGCTACTGGGCTGTTTTGGATTGCTAGCTATGGGGGGAGGGGGAACGCGCAGATTTGCCCTCACAGTGGAGGGAGAGCTTGTATAGGCTTGCCAAGTCCCCCCGGGGGGACGGGGAAACCCCCGCCCCAGAGGCCAGTTCCCCGCCGGCAGCGGATCGGGTCCCGGGGGGAACCCCACCCCAACGTGCACATCACCCGGAAGTGACGCGACCACGCCGGGCACGCTGGGGGCGGGGCCACAGTCATCCAAGGGAAAACTCTATGGTTTTCCCTCGGATGGTTGTGGCCCCGCCCCCAGTGTGCCCGGTGTGGCCGCGTCACTTCTGAGTGACGTGGATGCGGTGCATGTGCGCTTTGTGCGCGCTCCAGCCGCCAGCTGGGAGTCCCCCGCTGCGGCAAAATTCGAACTTGGCAACCCTAAGCTTGTACCTGAAGGCGGGCCGGGGGGGCTCTGCAACTTACTTGGCTGCTTCTTGCTCCTCGTGGCCCAACTGAGGGCTGCTGGGAGCAGGGGGTGGGGCTTGTTGCATGTGCCCGCCCCCTGGGCTTCTTACTACCGGAGCTGCTTCTGTGCGCTCCCACAGGAAATGACCCCTGCACTTAACAATAAATACTACAGTGTCATGATCTGGGCTGTGCAAGCAAAGGCCTAGCAGGCCCAGGGAGCCTGAGTAGCAGTGGGAGGAGGCCAGGCCTACAACTCCCAGAAGTCCCTGAGAGGTTTTGGCGCTAATTTTAACCAATCACAGAGAAAGGGGACTTATAATAAAAGAGCTGGTGCAGAAGGAGAGCTGTTCTTTCTTCCAAGAGAGCCGGGCTGGAGGGAAGGCTGCTGCTGGGAGATACCCTCACCTTGAGAGGAAGGGTGAGTAGACTCAGGCCCAACCTAGACAGTGAGCTAGGGACTGTGAGTCTAGTCGCGTTAGGGCATCTGGTTTCTTTTCCCTTCACCCAATTATCGTTATTGTTCTTGCACCTTGTTTGTTTCCTATATTTGACTGACCTCCTGTAAAAATAAACCTTTTATTTGTTGTTTACTCTGCCTGGTCCTCACGTCTATTATTCGGCCAAATAAGGGAGGTCTGAAGGTCTTGGGAGGGTGCTCGGGGCCTTCTCAAAGGATGCTAATACCAGAGTGGTGGCAGTGTCAGGTGGCACCCCACCTGAGCCGTGACATATATACATATATAAACCGACAGAAATTTAGAAACAGTAAAAACAACAATAATCAAATTAATCAGGTGGTGCTAAATATTTCATATCCTTCTCTAGTGAAGAAGAGATTGGATTTATACCCCGCCCTTCACTCGGAGTCTCAGAGCGGCTTACAAACTCCTTTCCCTTCCCCTCCCCACAACAGACACCCCGTGAGGTAGGTGGGGCTGAGAGAGCTTTTGACAGAAACTGCTCTTTTTCAAGCACAGCTCTGGCAGAACTTATGGCTTGCCCAAGGTCATCCAGCAGCTGCAAGTGGAGGAGTGGGGAATCAAACCCGGTTCTCCCAGATTAGAGTCCACGCACTTAACCACTACGGGGAGGCCAGGAGACGGGGAGGCCAGGACTGATGGCAAACCGTGGCAGTCCTCAACCACAGGCCTGGTGGAACATCTATGCCTTACAGACCCTGCGGAACTGCCTTATTCTGTCATTAGGCAGAACTTCCACCAGGCTGGTGCCAGGGCCGAGAAGGCCCTGGCTCTGGTCGAGGACAGCTGGATATCCTTTGGGCCAGGGATCGCCAGGAGGTTCTTATCTCGATTGTTATGCCCTTCGGGGAATATATAGAGAGAGGCAGTCCCAAAGATACGCCGGTCACAGACTGTTTAGGGCCTTGCAGGTCAGTATCAAAACCTTGAACCTGATCCAGTACTCAACTTGGAGCCAGTGCAGCTGGCGAAGCAGTGGTCAAATATGTGCGGTCGACGGGGTCCCAGTAAGGACCCACGCCGCTGCATTTCCGGGTCAGTCTCAAGAGCGACCCTGCGTAGAGCGTGTTTTAGGAAGTGGGCGGAGCCTTATGGGGCTTTCGCCCAGCAAGGCTTCCGATTGGCCACTGGAGATTGGATTGGCTGTGCAGATTTTTTTTAAATGTTGCTTTTGGCAGCAACTGTCGCCAGAGCACAAGGATCTACACTGTGTTACTTCAGTTAAGCTGTGGCAATTGTTTGGTGGCTGGCTCCGCCTCCTGGGGCAGCCGTTTTTTGGCGGCACCCACCGTGCCGTGTCAGAATTCCAAATGCGCCTGTAGGCAGGGGTCATTTCGTAGAAAAAAAGGTGCAGGAGCTCCTTAGCACAACTCATTTGCATATGCCACACCCCCTGACATCACCGGAAGGGTGTCAGGAGGCAACACCCACCGCTCAGGCGCCACTGGACTGTTTTGGATTGCTAGCTATTGGGGGGGGGGGAAACGTGCTGATCTGTCCTCGCAGAGGAGGGAGAGCTTGTACCTGAATAAAACTTGGTCTTAAAGGTGCCACTGGACTGTTTTGGATTGCTAGCTTTTGGGGGGGGGACGTGCAGATCTGTCCTCGCAGAGGAGGGAGAGCTTGTATCTGAATAAAACTTGGTCTTAAAGGTACTACTGGACTGTTTTGGACTGGGGGGCCGGGGGGGGGGCTCTGCAACTTACCTGGCTGCTTCTTGCTCTGACTGAGGGCTGCTGGGAGCAGGGGGCGGGGCTTGTTGCATGTGCCCGCCCCCTGGACCCTTTACTGCCGGAGCTCCGCTCCTGTGCGCTCCTGCAGGAAATGACCCCTGCCTGTAGGCATTTGGAGATCAGTTGTAATTCCAGGAGAACTCCAGGCCCTAGTTGGAGGTTGTCTACCTCAGGGTGGGGGGAAAGGTACAGAAAAGAATCTGAAGCAGACCGGCTCAGACAGAGCTCCACCAGCTCCGAGATAACACAGCCGTGGTCACGGGGCATTCTCTTCCAGCCTTCCTCTTACCGGCTGATTCCACCAGCGCCAGGCTCTTCATCTTGGTGTTGTGAAGCACGTCCTGAAGGTCTCGGTATCGGCAGTTGAGGGTCACGTAGCGCACGTCTCGCACCATGATATCCTCCACGCGGACGTTGTACTTCCTGCAAGCATGACACACGTTCAGAGTTCCTCTCCCGGAGGCTACAGTTGCACAACACAAGCTTAAGGGGCCGTCTGAATGTCCCCGGGGAATCCCAGAAGATAGGGTTGCCAGCTCTGGGTTGGAAAATGGAGCCAGGAGAGGGCGGGGTTTGGGGAGGGGAGGGGCCTGAGCATGGTATAATGCCATAGAGTCCACCTGCCAAAGCAGCCATTTTCTCCAGGGGAGCTGATCTCTGTCAGCTGGAGATCAGTTGTAAAAGCAGGAGATCCCCAGGCCCCACCTGGAGGCTGGCAACCCTTCCAGAAGGCGAGGCAGCTTTCACAGAGAATTCTTAGGGCCTTTGCCGAACTACACTTCCCAAGATCCTTTGCAGGGAGAGCCCATAACAAGGTGGCAGAAGAAGAGGAGATTGGATTCATACCCCACCCTTCACTCAGAGTCCCAGAGCAGCTTACAAACTCTTTTCCCTTCCCTTCCCCTCCCCACAACAGGCACCCTGCGAGCAGTGTTCCCTCTAAGCTGAGTTAGTGCGAGCTAGCTCACAGTTTTTTGGCCTCCGGCTCACACATTTTTGCCTCAGCTCAGGAAGGATGGCTCCAGGGCGAACTAATTTATGCAGTCGCCAATTCGCTCGCTCACAACTTTAATGCCAGTAGCTCACAAAAGTAGGATTTTTGCTCACAAGACTCCACAGCTTAGAGGGCGCGTCGCCTGTGAGGTAGGTGGGGCTGAGAGAGCTCTGAGAGATCTGCTCTTTCAAGAACAGCTCTGAGAGAACTTGTGACTGACCCAGGGTCATGCAGCAGCTGCATGTGGAGGAGTGGGGAATCAAACCCGGTTCTCCCAGATTAGAGTCCGTGCACGTAACCTGGGGAGAAAGCTGGGGAGAGCCTCCAAGTGGCCTTCCTTCCGCCTAAAGCTTTTCATTGTTATTTATGTATTAACAAGCGTAAGCCGCCCTGAGCCTGCTTTGTGAGGAGGGCGGGGCACAAATTAAATAAATGAATAAATAAAATAAAGGGGCCTTCCAACAACTGAAGGGGCTTTTCCTCCAGGGGGAGAGCCGTGGAATTTGGAAGAGGTCTCCCCAGATCAGAGGAAAGCTTCAGACCTGAGCCGAAAGGGAAGGTGGAGTATGAAAATTTAAATTAACAAAAGGACTTTGCTCAGTGAAGTGGTAGGAGATGGGCAGGATCCACCCCACTTAGGGTTGCCAAGTGGCACTTACCTTGCCGGCGGGTGACTCCTGTTCGTATCCTGGCGCGCGTGCCGAATGCACGTCACAGGAAAGTGACATCATGACGCCGGGCACGCTGGGGGCGGGGCCACGACCATACAAGGGAAAACGATAGAGTTTTCCCTTGTATGGCCGTGGCCCCGCCCCCAGCGTGCCTGGCGTCATGACGTCACTTCCCTGTGACGTGCACACTGGGGTGGGGTTCCCCCCGGGGCCCAATTCCCCGGCGTCGGGGAACGGGCCTCTGGGGCGGGGTTTTTTCCGCCCCCCGGGGGGACTTGGCAGCCCTAACCCGACTGTGTTGGGGTAGCTGGTGTCAAGGCTGCACTAGAGCCCGGCAGACCCGGATTCGAATCCCCACTCAGTCACAAAACTCATGCATTGGGAGTTTCAGGTCCAGGCTTCCCAACAGTTTTTAAAAGCTCGTTTATCAAGCACACGGGGGCCAGGTTTCCGATCATGAACGCAGCTTAAGGTGAAGGAGTAAGTACGGGGAGGGCGGAGTATAAATTTGATAAATGAATAACATAAAATTTCCCCCTAAATGACCCACTGGAGTAAATGTAAGGGTCCCAAAGGCTTAAGCCCTCCCCCTGCCCCTCATTCCTCACACCGTGGTCTAAATCGGGCTACCACAGACCTAAGGAAAATTGAACCACCTCTATTACAGGAAGTTCTGACCATAGAGTTCCTTGTGATTCCTAGAGCCACATGGAAGTGGCAAGGGTGGCTCTAGCAATCGCCAGAAACAGTTCTGACCATAGAGTTCCTGGCAATTCTAGAGCCACATGGAAGTGGCAAGGGTGGCTCTAGCAATCGCCAGAAACTCCATGCTCAGTGGGATTGCCAGCTCCAGGTTGGGAAATGCCTCGAGATTTTGGGGGCGGAGTCAGAGGAGGGGAACGACTTCAGCAGGGTATAATGCCACAGAGTCCACCTTCCAAAGAGGCCATTTTCTGCAGGGGAACTGATCTCTGTCTCCAGAAGATCAGCTATAATCGGTGTTCCCTCTAAGCTGAGTTTGTGTGAGCTAGCGCACAGTTTCTCAGCCTCCGGCTCACACATTTCTGTCTCGCTCGCCGCTTTAACGCCAGTAGCCCACAAAGTAGGATTTTTGCTCACAAGACTCCATGGCTTAGAGGGAGCGTTGGCTGTCATTGCGGGCGATCTCCAGCCACAACCTGGAGGTTACGAAATTATGTCAGGGACAGGGATATTTTTGGGCAGGAACGCAGAGGAACGGAGTTCCGGCTGGCTCCTGAGTTGGCCACGCCCAGCAGGAACTCATTAGCATAATAGGCCACACCCAACAGCAGAAACTCATTAGAATTGGCTACATTAGGGGTGTGTGGCCTAACATGCAAAGGAGTCCCTGCTACAAAAAAAGCCCTGGTTGACAACAAACAAGGTAAACAGAATAAGAAGCAAAAGGTGGGTGTGGCTGGATGACCACACTTCTGGTAACATGGGGGTGCGGCCTAATATGCTAATGAGTGCTGCTGTCAGGGGTGTGGCCCAATATGCTAATGGATTTCTGCTATTGGGTGTGGCCTATTATGCTAACGAGTTCCTGCTGGGCTTTTTCTACAAAAAGAGCCCTGGGACTCAGGGAGCACAGTGCCTAATAGCATCTCATCCCTGCCACCCCTGGAAGTTGGCAACCCAAAGGGGCAGGAACGTCCTGTAAGTAGACAAGGCCTCATTTTGCGTTTTCATCTTCCTCCCCGGGATGCTGCGCCCCCATCGGTGGCCAGGCAACCCTACCTCCGGAGGTTCTCTCGGCAGCACCCCAGCAGAGTGATGCATCGGTTGCCCGTTGAGTACCAGATCCGCTTCAAGGTGTTGGTAATTACCTTCAAAGCCTTACATGGCCTGGGACCAACATACCCAAGGACAGGGCTTTTTTTGTAGAAAAAGGCCAGCAGGAACTCATTAGCATAATAGGCCACACCCAACAGCAGAAACTCATTAGCATATTAGGCCACACCCCATGCCTTCCCTTGGCTTGCCTGGGCGCTCCGCAGCTGCTTCCCCCTTGAAGGGAAGGCAGTTTAAACTGCCTTCCCTTGGCTTGCCTGGGCACCCTGCGGCTGTGGGGAGCCTGGGCAAACTGGCCCTTGAAGGGGAGGGAAGGCACAGGGAGGCATTTAAATGCCTCCTCGATCCTTCAAGGACCCCCTGGCCCGCCCGCCTTGGAGTCGCTGGGGTGTGTGTGTCACTCTCCAGGCCTTCCCTCTGTAGCCACGCATGCACACAGGTTTTGGCTGTAGGCGTGGACAATTGGGAAGCCAGCCGGAACTCCGTTCCTGCCCAAAAATAGCCCTGCCTGAGGGACCGCCTCTTCCCGTATACGCCTCGAAGGGCGTTACGCTCTGAGAGTCAACCTCTCCTGGTGGTCCCTGGCCCAAAGGACGTCCGCCTACCAATGTTATCTCTAAGCTGGGGAGTCTTATGAGCAAAAATTCTACTTTGTGAGCTGCCGGCCTGAAAGTTGTGAGCGAGCGATTTGGCTGTTGCATAAATGAGTTTGCTCTGGAGCCCTCCTTCCTGAGCTAAGGCAGAAATGTGTGAGCCGGAGGCTAAAAAACTGTGAGCTAGCTCACGCTAACTCAGCTCAGAGGGAACACTGCCGCCTACCCTCGACCTGGTGGAACAGGCTCCCTATTGAGATCAGGGCCCTGCGGGATCTTATGCAATCCCGCAGGGCCTGCAAGACGGAGCTCTTCCGCCAGGCCTTTGGCTGAGACGGCGGGCGTCCGCATATAGCCTCCGCCCCCCCCCC